AGAGCGGTCCTATGATGTTGCCGGAGGCTTTGAAAGCACAATCGCAGGTTGTCTTGTTATTTCGCCTTTTCGTTCAGGCAAGAACTTCCTCTCGACACGTGTCTCCGACAGGATGCCTTTATCCTCAGCATCAAAAACAAGACAGGTTTTGGTGTAATTACAATAGGAAGAATAGGGCTCACCAAAGAAAATTGCTCTTCTATATCTTTAACACACTTAGTCGTATTATTATTATAGCAAATTTCCTTATAACAATTTTCCTGTATTAACTAGCATTCATTCATTATATATGAAGCCCATTTCATGGACCCAAGCAAAGCCAGTAAATGATAACATGAGTACAATACAAAACAATGCAAAATCTTGATGCAGTTATTCTTGACACTCTTTTGGCTCTGCTCCTGGAATGTTTACTCTTTCAGACGTCCTGACGGAGCTGCAAAGTGTGCAAAAGAGACTGAGAAGTCCTCGTTATAGCTTTGGGAAGACATTAGAGAGAGGTTGCGTTGATCCACATTATTGTCATTCCTGCTAGTGCTACTGCAAGAGACTGGTGACAAACACCAACTGAGAGATAGAGTTGAAAAAGACAAACGAAACCGCTGTTTAATCCTAGGAAAGCGTGTTTTCTTTATCTCTTACATTCCTTGGAACTACATGTTTTCAAATAAAGGAGTGATAAACACTGTTTGGGAACTCGTTGTTTTGTATTGTACTCATATTATCGTTTACTGGCTTTGCTTATGTCCACGAAATGTACTTAACATAAGAACATAAGAGACGCCAATGTTGGATCAGGCCAAAGGCCCATCCAGTCCAACACTCTGTATCACACAGTGGCCAGAAATACCGGTGCCATCAGGAGGTCCACCAGTGGGACCAGGACATTAGAAGCCCTCCCACTGTTGACCCCCCCCAAGCACCAAGAAGACAGAGCATCACTTGCCCCAGAGCCCCTATCTATAGCTTGTGGCTAATAGCCACTGATGGACCTCTGCTCCATATGCTTATCTAATTCCCTTTTGAAGCCGTCCATGCTTGTAGCCGCCACCACTTCCTGTGGCAGTGAATTCCAAGTGTTAATCACTCTTTGGGTGAAGAAGTACTTCCTTTTATCCGTTCTAACCCGACCGCTCAGCAATTTAACCTTTCCTCATAGGGAAAGTGTTCCAACCCTTTTA